CAAATCCTAAAACCACAGGGTGGGTATTTTCCACTGCTTTGGTGACATACTTTTGTCTCAAGTTTTCCTGAAGTGCACTTTGCCAGAAGACTGCCTTGAGGCTACCCCTGGTCCAGAGTGTCTTCAAAAAACACATTTAAACAATTCCTGTTGACCTCGCTACTTTGAGCATTCCATCACTCTATGACTCCAGATAGAGCAACTCAAATGAGACATAACTGAAAAAAAAAATGTTTAGATGGGAAATTATAGAGCTTCTTCAGTTCCCCAAAAAATCTGACATCCTTCTGCACCTTCAAACACAGTGGGCAATGTCACCTCACCAGCAACTGTATAACCAAGGGCCTTATAGAGATAGATAGGAACCTCATCCTTCAATCGACCACCCAGTAATTCATCAGATCCTCCCACCCTTTTATCATCTTCAGCATCTTGCAAAGCTCCCTTCCCCATCTCTACATCTAGTCTCCATAAGGGGACTGATAACTTCTCATAGTGTCTTTTCAGCCGGCCCACACAAAAGGCCAGGAAGAGTGACTGTCAAGGCAGCCACGTCTACTCAGTTGTACCAATCAAGATTCTGGGGCATCATGTCATAAGTCAGACCAAATGGAGCCAAATCCCATGGTCTGACCATAGAAGAACAAACAAACTCAGCTTCTCATACTTTACCCTCACGTCACTGAATGCTTGTTTAACCACTGGTCTCCAAAATGTGTGGGGATTTCACCCTTCCAAGCAATTCTCCAGCTGATCCCAGATGGGTATTCGCTAATTTAACTCAATTTTGACACTGTCTTCCTGGAAATGGTGTCAGATCCCCCAGGTTGAGAGCTCAGTCCCACAAGATTGCTCTCCACTTCAGATGCCAATCTAAAGCCCTGGGGTGTTTTTCCTGAGCTTCTGAATGACTGCATATAAATCGGGGGTTCCCATGACTCCCTTCTTGGGTTTGATTAATTTGCTACAGCAACTCTAAGAACCAAGGGAGACACTTACTTACATTTACCATTTTACTATAAAGGGTATTGCAAAGGATACAGATGAAAAGCCAGATGAAAGAGGCGCATAGGTGACGTATGGTGAAGAGATGTGGGATTTCTTTTCCCTCTCCAAGAGCACCATCCTACATGAACCTCCACAGGTTCAGCTGTCCATAAGCTCTCCAAACCCAGTTCTTTTGGGGTTTTATAGAAGCTTCATTACACAGGCACAACTAATTAAATCATTTGCCATTGGTGATCAACTTAACCTTCCGCCCATCTCCCTTTCATGGAGGTTGGGGACAGAGCTGAATGTCTCAATGTTCTAACCATGCCTTGGTCTTTCCTGTGACCAGCCCCTATCCTGAAGCCATCTAGGGGCCCCCAGCCACAAGCTCTCTAATAAGAGAGCAAAAGGCACTCTATTCACAAGGTACTTCTATTATTCTGGAGATTCCAAGGATTTGAAGGACTGTATGTCAGGAAATTGGACAAAAACCAAATATGTATTCCACAATATCAAATCTACCCTCTGGTTTTTTAACAGAGATCTGTTATGTCAAAGTAATACACCACTACAAAAGACGCTGACTGGCACATTCCTGGAATTCCATCCAATCATGAATAATTAGTCCAGTCCATCATCATTATACAAAAATGTCTCCCAGGGTGAGGCCACTCAGGTTTGTAAGCTTCCTTATCACACATGGGTAGAACCAGCCTCAGACATAGCTGGATTCAAAGGTCAAATGAATTCACCAGGACTTCATCTCTCAACTCTCTCCAGTGTGGGCTTCATTCTCAGCTTCATCTAAGAGATTCTAAGGATGCAGGTCTTCTGTGTCCTAAGCCAAGCCCCAACCTCAAGGTTTGTTATCAGGAGACCCCAGAGCCATTCCCTGTGTGTTTCATGGCTCCCTGCTCCCTGGTGATTTTTTCCTTCCTCAGACAGACCCACAGCTACCAGCAATATTTCCTGGAAGGATGATAGCCCAGGGATGGAGGGTTTAGGTTGTGATCTCAGCTCTGTTACTTCTCTGTTGTGTGTTTCTGGACAATTTATTTTGCCTCTCTGGGCCTCAGTTTCCTCATCTGTAAATGTCACTCTGTGCAGCTTCCCCAAGCGCCTGCTCCTCCATCTAGTTCTGTACCTTCTCTAAACATATCACACTCTGGACTGTACCTACACTGACATACAAATGCTGCATCAGAAAGTATCTTATTGCTCCTGTAACCTAGAACCAGAACGAAATGGCTGCAAACTATTTCATTCATTGGTAGAATCAGAAGATCTGCAGGGTTCTTCTAACCTTTGAAAATAATCATGACCCAATGATTATGACTTATCTGATCATTCCATCCCATCCTGGATTTATCCCTAATTGGCTGGACCAGCCCTCTCTGTGTCCTTCCCTTCTCCAGAGTAGCTCCCCAAAGCCAATCACCACCTTTAAGAATTTGAGGACTGGCCAGGCGCAGTGGCTCATGCCTTTGATCCCAACATTTTGGGAGGCCGATGCGGGTGGATCACGAGGTCAGGAGATCGAGACCATCCTAGCCAACATAGTGAAATGCCGTCTCTACTAAAATATAAAAATTAGCTGGGCGTGGTGGCACGCATCTGTAGTCCCAGCTACTTGGGAGGCTGAGGCAGGAGAACTGCTTGAACCCAGGAGGCGGAGGTTGCAGTGAGCCGAGATCACACCACTGTGCTCCAGCCTGGTGCCTGGCAACAGAGTGAGACTCTGTCTCAAAAAAAAAAAAAAAAAGAATTTGCAGACTAACTTACCTCTACCCATCTTCACACTCAATACTCAATATGTTCCATACAATCCCAAATATTCCTTCCCTGTGTTTGTGTACAATGAAAATGCCTTAACTGCAGTCTGATCTTGCCAATATACTGGTGCTTAAACCTTCATGCCTGACTATTGCGAACCATCTTGACTTGTAAGGTGCCAGAAATCAAAGGCTGTGGATCTATGTAGACAGTGCCCCAAGCATATAGCTGTCTCCTACATGCTTTTAAAGATAATGAATGGTAATGACATTCAGATTGATTATGTTATAATATTCTGCAATATGTGCTCCCATTCCAGATGAGCATGGAGTCCATTGAAAAACTCTAATTCAGTGATTCCCCATGGGATGAGCAACTCACGAATGCATGAGGAGGAGCATATATTTTGAAGAAAATATTCAATATGATCATGTAACTTTACATATTTAGAAAATATTTTTAGAAACTATTATTATTTAAAACACACTATAGAAACAGCAGAGATAACATTTGAACTCAGAGTGACTCTTTTAGACTGCATTGTTTCTCAATGAAAGAGGCAGCAAGTGCCACAAGCCTGGGCCATACATAGCTGGTTTTGTACCTTGTCATTCTGTCTCCATGCTTGCTCTCAATGGGGAAGGGCTCTGTATCCTTGGAGACAGCAGAAAAGCTTTGTCCCACAGAATGAGGTGAGCAGGGCTTTCTCTCCTACAGCCACCAAAAAATTATCTAGGTGCCAAGGTTCAGCTAACACTCGTCTCACAGAAGAACTCATGTCCTGGGCCCTCTGTCAAGGTGCCTCCTGGGTTCTTCCCTGAAAAATCAAGGTGGTTGGATGATGCTCACAGCTCCAGCAGCTCTGCTTGTTCTGTGAGAAGCCATCAGACAGTCAACAAACAATTCTAAACACCCACTCTGAGCCAGGCATGCTCCAGATGGGATTGCTATTTGGTTTTTCTTTCTAGTGGAGTTATTAGAGAGCTGAGTGGAGTGTCCAGTGGCTTGAAATACAGTCAGGATAACAGGCTATTTGACCCCCAGTGGTAACCTGGTAATGGTTATTTTGTTTGAATCAAGAAAGTCTCATTTTTACAAACCCTGGCACTGTGTTCTCCCCTGCATGGCTAGTAGTTTGAGTCTCATGTCATCCTACATTTTGTGTAATGATTTTTGAAGAGTGATTTAAATCATCCACTCCTCAGGGATAGGAATCGCTTTCAACAAAGAGGCTTTGGGGTGAGATTTTACACACGGCAAATTTAAAAACCACTGTGGAGGCATAGAAAGCAGAAGGAAGAATGGTTTTCAGGGTAAATTAGGTTATAAATGTTGGTCAGACATAGAACTGGCCTCAATAAAGACCTTGCTAAGAAACTTGTAAACAAAAGCAAACTGGCACATCACAGTGGTTTTGAAGAGTGTGCCACGCCCTGAATACATACAAAATAAAGAAGTTCTAGTAAGTAGCTCCTCCTCTAAGTACAGCAGAGTTGGTCATGGGAAACACTATTAATGGGTTTTGAGGGGTTTGTTTAGTTTTGTTTGGTTTCAGATAGTGTCTTGCTCTGTTGCCCAGACAAGACTGCAGTGGTGCCCAGTGCACCCATGCATAGCTCACTGCAGCCATGCCCAGTGAATTAAAATTTTTTTTTTGTAGAGATGGCTGGTCTCGAACTGCTGGACTTAAGTGATCCTCCCACTTTAGCTTCCCGAAGTGCTGAGATTACAGGTGCCAGCCACTGCGCCTGGCCAGTACATTTTTCTATCACCGCCCCATTCATTTACCTTCTCTTTCAGCCTTCCCTACAACCGCTGCCTCCCATTTTTCCTCCATTAAAACTGTACTTTGAGGCTGCAGTTTATTGCCAAGAAGAGGGCAAAAAACATGAGAACAGATAAAGTAACCACATTTCCAAGTAATAACTTTTTAAAATCATCATAGAGACACTAATCTTGAAAACCAAGACCCTCTGATTTGCAAAAGCCAAGCTTTTTAACAGATTAAAGGTTTTCTGAGGTCTAAAAGCTTGGATTTGAATACCAAGAGCCAAAGCCCTGAAGGAATTGCTTGCTGTATAAAGCTTATCCATGAATAATGGTTTAGAAAAACATTTTCTCTCCACTGGGGAGAGAGATTACAAATCTTTCTGAGTGGGAGTAGAGTGTTGAGAATGAAACAGGAGAGCAGTAGTGTTACTTGCTCTACTCCCAATGCCCCGCCCCCCATTCCCTACCCCATGTAACTTCAGTGAGGAGTCTCGGCATCCCAGAGCGGTGCAGCCAGTACAGCAAGTTCATCCCCAGAGTCCTGCGGGGAGAAGCAGGGAGAGTCAGTCAGGTGTCTGTGGAGAGTCCTTCCCCCATGACCAGATTATAAAAGCCAGAGCAAGGGCCACAGTGGTGAAGCGGTTTCCTGACTGGAATGAGATGAATGAAGAATGTGGGGTCTGGTAAGTGGAGGTGACGCTATGATCTGAACGTTGTATTGCCTCAAAATTTCTGTGTTGAAATCCTAACCCCAAGGTAATGGAATTAGAAGGTAAAACCTCTAAGAGGCAATTGGGTCATGACAATAGAACTCTTGTGACTGGGATTACATCCCTTATAAAAAAATAAAAAATAAAAGACCCAAGGCTGGGCGTGGTGGCTCACGCCTGTAATCCCAGCACTTTGGAAGGCCAAGGCAGGCAGATCATCTCAGGTCAGGAGTTTAAGATCAACCTAGCCAACATGGTGAAACCCCATCTCCACTAAAAATACAAAATTAGCCAGGCGTGGTGGCAGGTGCCTATAATCCCAGCTACTCGGGAGACTGAGGCAGGAGAATCGCTTGAACCCAGGAGGCAGAGGTTGCAGTGAGCCAAGATCATGCCACTGCACTCCAGCCTGGGTGACAACAGCAAGACTCTGTCTCAAAAAGAAAAAAAAAAGACCCAAGAGAGACCTCCTCTTCCTTCTGCCATGTGAGGAGGACACAGCAGGAAGTCACTGTCTATGCCAGGAAGAAGGCCCTCCCCAGATATCAAATTTGCTAGCACTTTGGTCTTAGACTTCCCAGCTTCCAGAACTTTGAGAAATAAATTTATGTTGTTTACAGGCCATCCTCTTTGGGCGCTTACTTATAGTAGCCCCAACGGACTAAGACAGACCATGTGCACCTAGAGGCAGGATCCAGAGGGATTGAGGCCAATAGCCTTCAAAGACCAGAGGGCCAAAAACACTTTGCAGAGTTCCAACCCTGGGCCAGAGGGCCAGAGGATTCCCCAAACCCATTCTGCAAGTGCCGCCAACCCTCCCCATCTGTGAACTTAGAAGCCGCTTCTAAGAAAGGGAGAAGAGCAGAGCCCTGCAAATGGCTAACTCTAGGCAGGAAATGACTGGGTCATCACTACGTGGACGGTTTCCCTTGAGCATGAATGATTAAATTTTCAGCTACCAAAGAGAAATGGGGTCCCAAGTTAAAGATTAAGTTCAACTGTTCGTGAATTCTTAAGCATTATTTAATTAATTGAGCCAGCAAAAAGTTTGGAACTTCAGTGTTCACCAGAACCATAAATAAGTCTAGAAAAAGACTGTGGGTCGGCGGGGAAGTATCTACAGTGTCGTTCTTTTCTAACTTCAGCAACACACAACAATATTATAAACCGTTGTAATATTAGAAAGTTTCTCAGAAACTGATGGTCCCTCACTGAATACATGACACTCTTTAAATTTTCCTAGAATTAAAAGGTTCGATTCCAGTAGTTCACCTGAATTATATAATTAACTATGAAACTTAAAAGTAAATGAGGCTGGACTTTTCAAAATGCAAATCTGATCATGTCACTTTTTTGTTGTTTTGTTTTGTTTTGTTTTGTTTTTGAGACAGAGTTTTGCTCTTGTTGCCCAGGTTGGAGTGCAATGGCATGATCTCGGCTCCCCGCAACCTCCACCTTCTGGGTTCAAGCGATTCTCCTGCCTCAGCCTCTCAAGTAGCGGGGATAACAGGCATATGCCACCACGCCTGGCTAATTTTTTTGTATTTTTCATAGAGATGGGGTTTCTCCATGTTGATCAGGCTGGTCTTGAATTCCTGACCTCAGGTGATCTACCTGTCTCGGACTCCAAAAGTGCTGGGATTACAGGCATGAGCCACTGCACCAGGCCTGACCATGTCACTTTTTCCCAACATCCACCTCTGGTGAGAGGGAGCTGGTCTGCTTTGCTCACCATGGCAATGCCAGCACTGAGCACATAGTGGGCCTTCATTTGTTGAATGAATTAATATGAGCAGGCTAGTGAACTCTTAAGTCTCCTGCCTTTGACATTCTGCAGCTACATGAGTTGCATCTATTTTCCCACATAAAGAATCACAAAGAACCTCTTGAATTTCAGTTTAAACTGATGAATATTTGCAGTAATGTAGACATAATTTTAATATGTTCCCATTCCATTAATTGCAGTTCTAGCAACACACATACATTTATGCATATACATTCTTATTTAATATAGTTCTTGATCCCTGAAACTTAATTAACAAAGGCATTAAGTTATTCAAAACATGAACATTGTCACCTCGGTGTAAATGTCAAAGTAGAATCAGGTATTGTTCTTTCACGGTGCAATTAAAATTTAAATTAATATATGGAACTCATTATGTTTTGTTTTCTAACAAAAATATATAAGGAAATGGCATTCTATTAAAATAGAGTTCTACAAAAGAAAAATCTGTAGAGGAATTAATGTATGACTGTGACAAAACCTTATCTCTGAAAAGAGTAGAAAAAAATGTAAGGTTTGGGTTTTTATCACCTGATCCTTTGTTCATCTCTGCACACTTTGTTGCACACATAAACAAATTTGTAGATTTATGAGATTTACGGCTATCTATATAAACACCTTTTACTCTAGCAGTTCCCACATTTTCAGCAATTACAGGAACTTAAGTTTCTCAATTCTCCACAAAATATGAGCAAAAACACTGCAAATTCCTGTTCCCTGTCCACCAAAATCTCTCACAGTAATTAAAGCCCTTATCAGCATCACTGTGTGCTACATAACAATCTAGTCTTCCTAAAAGTAAATTCACAAGGGGGGAATTCCTCTTCATGATAAGCAAACAGCAATTATTATTCCCTGTTATTAAAATGCTCTCGGTTAATTGTACAGATACCAGCAAAGAGATTACCTTAAAAGGCTGGATACCAAAGGGGAGTTAGTCAGAGTTTTGAACCTTCTGGTCTAATTTAGAGGAGCGTTTACAGATAAATTCAGTAAATATTTGTAAGGAACCATTAACATTGAGTAAACAATTCAATGCCTGCAAAGAAAAATGTATTTGAATAATTGTAAAAGAACCTTCCTCCATACATGCAGGAAATGAATTATTTCAAAATGAAAATAGCTGAAATACATTCACAGAAAAATACTACCAACCACATTTTCTAAGCATGCTTTGTTGTATACACAGTTGATCATCCTGGACTGTATTTATAAGAAGCACATGTTCCAAAAAAAAAAGAAGAAGCTGCTGTTTTCACTCCAGGGATTATTTTACAGGGAACTCAGTGGGCTCAGCCCTTCCTTAGCATTTTTCCTGTTTCCGTCCCAACAGAAATGAGATTTAAGCTTTTGTCTTTTGTGCTGCTAACTCCCAGCCTGCCAACGTATCCCTGTTTGATGCTGTACTTCCATTGACAGAGTGGGGGAGGAAAGAGCAAGTAAATGATGAAGTTCTGAGCTTTCTCTTCCCCTCCAAATGGCAGAGATAAATCTAGTCAGTGAACATGAAGGTGTCCTGGCTCAATTAAAAACCAACTTTGATAAAATATTTTGTTTAAAGAGAAAAATAGTGTCTCTCCAGTGAAAACTGTTCAGGGCAGCTGCTGCAGGGGAAGCAGGTGGTTGAGTCTACCCTGAGGGGTTCAGAAATATTAATATTTAAACCTCTCACATTTCACTAAAGTTCACGACAGCTTCCTAATGCCTGGAGGAAAACAGAGCAGGAAAATCACAAGCCACAGAGTGGGAATGCCTTCTAATTTGGCCAGAGCAGGGCCTGATTGTCTGAATCCCCAACCCAGCCTCTCTGATTTGCTGCAAGCTCACAAAGACAATGCGTTAGACTTTCAAAGCTGGCTCCTTCCTCTACACGCTATAAAGACAAAACATGTAATCAGCACACAGGGTTTTCCAGGCCATGATTTGTTTGTCTAGACTCTGGCCATTGAACTCTGTTTATTACTAAACATCATATGGAATGGGCAACAAATCAAAGGGGTTTCTGAGAGCCTGTAGGGCCTGTCTTCCCTGAGCGCATGCAGCCATCCTTCCTTCTCGGTTTCCACTGCTCTCAGAGGTCTGTCTTTCCCAGGACCCAGGGGCTGATCACTAGACTAACGTTTCATCTTTTTTTGACCCAGGACATGACCCTGGGTCATTTGTAACCCTCAGATCCCCTCCCCATCATTGTGCAAGTAGGCAGTCCTTAATAATTATATTCTGGCGGCTGCATGGAGAGGTCATGAAGAATGACTAATGATTAACATTTGAAAATGGAACGTGATAGGAAAATACTACCAATCACGGCAAAACCGTCTGTCAAAAGAGCAGAGGACAACAACTACAACAAAACACTATTTAAAGAATACGCTCTTCCAAGATGAGAACGTGCCATTCAAAAGAATTCTTCAGTTTTGTTTTTAGAAAGACACATATTATCAGATGCATTGTTATCATTTTTAATGGATATTTGTTAGCCTACTTGTTCATGAATATATATTTCCTACTTTAAAAGATTTGACCTAGAGGATAAAATGGAGATTTACAGCTCTTTTTAGAAAATAATGCACAACCTGATTCTTTTAAAGAAAAGGCATCTCTGTTGCCTATAAAAGTGTAATTGCTTTGTACAAAAATCAGTCCTCCCAGGTACTGTTTCTGAAACACATCGATTGTGTAAAGAAAGACCTACGAGCTAACAGAAGGCTTGTTAGCTCAGAGGCTAAGGATGGAGGTCTCTAACTGAAAAGGCTTAGGTACCAACTCCCTGTGAACCTTACATATAATCTAAATGGGTGAAAGCTATCTAATCTGTGTTTCACTTCTCCTGCCAGAAATGGAAAGCTATCACTCCAAAGGGCTGTTAAGCAAAACAAAATAATATTTCCAAAGAAGGTCTAGCTTCTGTTCTGTGACAATTTAGTGATCATTCATCAGATGAACAAAGAAGCCAAAAGGGTCAAACCAACCAGAACTTAGAATGATGGTCAGGAACTCCTGACCTATCCTTTCTGGCAGTTTCAAGGAACCCAGTAGAAGATTTGGCTC